CAGTAACTCTTGTGCACTCTATAACACTTCTATAATATAACTTTTAATTGTGTAAAGTATTCTGTTGCACGATCATGTAATTTTTTCAAAGGCCCCCTCTTACTGGAAAATTAAGTTGCTTCCTGTTTGTTTTTTTGTTATTAACAGTGCTGAGATAAACATCCTTACAACTTTGGAGAGAGTAAAATATAGTAGCTTCATTCATAGACTCTGGAGACAATATGTCTGTATTCAATCTTTTATTATCTGTAAAACTTTGAGCAGGTCACCTGGTTCTTGATTTTTTTTTATTTTTATTTTTATCTGACACAGGGAAAACAATGGTACCTATTCCACGTAGGCCCCTGAGACTTATTTCATCTCAAGTGCTCAGAATAGAGTCTTTGGAAACACTTCAGTATTATTAATGAGTTAGATATTCAGCTATTATGAGTTGTTAGTGTCTTTACATATGTATATACTCATTTCTTTGAGAAAAATTCCCCGAAGAGGAATTGCTAGACAGAAGGCTTTCAAAATACTTTGCCAGAGTAAAGTATATAAAAGTCTCTAAAAAGGATGTGGTTATTTACTCTCCTGTAGTACTGTTTAAGAGTGCTGGTTTCTACATGGTGGGAAAGGTTAGCATTGTCACTGTATTGGTCTTGACATTATAATTATCCTACTCATGACTCAGGTTGAACAAATTTTCACAGTTTATCATCCTTGAAGTCAGAAAGCATCCAACCATCATTGTCAACAGGTGACTTTCATGAAGTGTTTGTACAAAACTTTCTGTTGACAACTGCTAAGATCAAGAAAGAGTGTCAGTGTGTCTTAACATCTATGAAATTGAATTTCACTGGGAAGATATGAAACAGGCAAACATAAATAAAAATTGTGATCTAAGTACAAAATAAGTAAGGGAAAATATATTACATCTTAAATTGGATTTCAAAAATGTGCCTAAAGGATAGAGGTTGATGGACTATTTTTGGAACACTGGGAAGGATTGACAGAGGGAGAGGACAGGTCTACTATCTCTACTTAATACAGTTCTACTTCTTTCTTTTTGTTATGCATACAGGTATAAAAGATGATAATTATTGCAATTGCATACAAGTCCATGATGATATTCATGGACATTTTGGCTGTTACATGCATTATTTTCTCTGAGCGTAATGCCTTCAGCAGACCTCACCCCCTCACACCCCTACTTCCTTTATCTAAATATGGTACACTCAGCATTTAGGACTCCGCTTAGGCATCATTTTAGCTGAGAAGGCTTTCCTGATGCACCAACAGTGGTTAAGTATCATTGCTGTGTTTCCCATTGTGTCTCATCCATATCCTTCCCTGTGTAATAAAATACACAGTATTTTATTACCTAACAATGTAATGTCTGTTCCATTAAACTGAAAGCTTCTAGAGATGTAGTGTATCGTTGTCTGTTGAACCATAGGTGAAGCTCCTTATCTGGCACATTGCAGGTACTTAATAGATTTCAACTGAATAAATCTCAGCTCAGCCAATGAATGTGACCTATGTTTTCTGGGGTCTTTGGAAGTTGCAGCCCTAAGGGTTCCAGTGTGAGTTCATTGTTTTGGCAGAATCCAATGCTTTACAATTTTTCACTAAGGGTTGGAGCATGGATTATGTAATTCTGATTCTACACAGTAGTTTAAAATTCCTTTTATTTCTGACCTATTATGAGAGCTTATTAGAGCAAGCTGTCTGTGCCTGTCTGAGACTCTCATTAAGTTGTCTCTAGAAACATCTGCATGAATCTGGGCATATTGCATCTGAGAGCCCATTTCCAGCTGTTAGCACAGTAAGAGCTGAAACCAGAAGCTGAAAATGAGTCATCATTCACTAGCATTTAGGCTCCTTTCAACTTAATGTGAAACAAAATTTTGTTCCTTTACTTCTTTTTCCCTTTAGGATCTTCCAGCTCTTTCCTTGTTATCTAAGTTTTTCTAGCTGTCTGAGAGTAACCAGCCAGTCACTTTCTCTTGTAGAGCGGAGAAGAAGATCCTGCCCCTTGAGATTAAAGTCTTAACAAAAAGATGTCAGATTGTTTGAATTTAGACTTTCTCTAAACTCTCTGTTCAAACATAGTGTGTGAACTTAGGATAATTGGCCAAATTCTGAACTAACATAAAGAGCAAATTCTGCTTCTTGTCTAGACAAAGTCAGCACACCCTGGAACTTTTAGGAATTAGGGAAGAAAGCTGGCTTTTTAAGCTGTAGACTGTGAAACTCACTGGAATACATTTAAGAATGAGTGTTTTGAAGTAGTTAACTACAACATCTGAAGAAAGGAAAGGAAGTCACAGAGATGCCTGAATCCAACCCAGGCTTCTGTGTCCTCCCTGCTCTACTTCCTGACTATTTGTCTGTAAACTTCTCTGGGTGGATTTTCACCCTCAGAATAGCTCATATTGATGTACAGTATTCACATTGTGAGGTCTGTGTATCAGTGGCTTTTCAGGAAAACACAGCCCAAAGCAGGGAAGCTGTCACTTCAAAGCATGCCAGAGTGCTTAGATATAGCCGAGAAATTAACCATGTCGGCGTGATAATATTTCTTTAAAAGGCCCCGACTCTTTTTTCTATGTTGATAATTATCAATTGCTGCTATAGACTCATTTCTATCATGAGGACATGTCTTAAGGAAGTGTGTGTGTGTGTGTGTGTGTGTGTGTGTGTAATCCTAAGAAAATAGAGCTGGAACTAGTCTCCATCTGACTGCTTTTCTGGGAAATTGTTTAATGGGACATAGAAAAGGGTCATGAAGCAGAGGAGAGACAAGTTCTGTCCCCTCACTGCTTCTTTCTACCACTCTGCTGTTATAAAACATGTTCTATAAAATGTGTGTGTCCAGAGCTCACTCTTATCATAATGCCACAGTGGAAAATAACTAGAATCAGCTAATACAATTTTTTAAAGTGCTTTTGGCATGATCTTGGTATTCTTACCAAGGTAATTTTATTGGCTAAAATTGTCTTTTATGTCAACCAACAAATTTTCCTTGAACATAGGGAGCAGTTGGGTACTAACTCAATATCTCAGGTTCTAAAACTTGGAATATGGGATATGAAACCCTTGGGAAGGGTTTAGCACAGAAGAATAGCAAAAAATAAACCTTTGGAAAATAAGTAGAAGTACTGGAGTAACAGTGTTTACTCTCAAAAAGAACAGGGTCAAGGTTACATTCATGTATCAGGAATAAGATCCTTTATGATACACACATTGGTGATCAACTGGGTCAACTCTATTGTGAGGAAGACAGGGGGAAAAGATTACATGATGGGATAATAGATTTGTCTTCATGGAAGGAAGAATTTCCCCCATACTCTTAAGGATTGATAAACCAGGAAATGGGTTATAAAAGACTATGGAATTTACTGTGGGGGACCTAATTTTTCCCTACTTGGGAAAGCTAAGAGGACCTAAAGGAACATACCGTGTAACTTTTTAAAATATATATATTTTTCCTTTAAGATCTCAGATTAAAAGTGTTACAATTTAAAAACCAAGTTCTGTTTCTCTATCCAGAGGCAATAAAAGAAACAACTGATATGAATGACAATGGGCTTAAAGCTCATTTTGGAATTATTACCTAATCTTATTTAGTGAAAGAAGATTGTGAGTTCTTAGGTAATTGCTTTCTTGATCTGCTTTAGGTTCAATAATTCTCTCTCATTGTTTTAAATTGTGTTAAAGTGTGTTTATTAAAATACTAATGAGACCAAAGCCATACTGATTAAAAATAGAATTATTCATTTAAACCTTTTGATATTATGAAATCAAAGGTGTACTCTAGTATTGGAAGATGGATCCTGCAATTCTAAAGAGCTGTTTGCTGTGTACCTAGAGTTATTGTTTAAAAATAATAGTTCAGTCTAGATCTGTTGAAGTTACAAAATTTTTATGGAATGAAACGACTTTTTAAATCATAAAACAATTTATCCTAAGAGCTTTAGATAGGGTGCCTCTCTTCTAGTGATTTTCATAGCATCTAATTAATAAATAAATGCATGCTGGCTGGGCAATACATATTGAGTAGGTTTTGTTTATCAACTCCCTTTGTAATTTTTTAGAATATTTGCAACTGAGGTTTTCCCCCTTTCCCACTCCTCCTTTTGTGCTCATTGACTTTATCTTGCGGCCTGTGTCTTACCTATTTTTATTTTTATTTGCTCTCCATTTTCAGTTTCAGGTTTTTCCTAATTTTTTTAGTAGGTCAGTACAATTAAAGACATTAGTCCATTATTTTTCTGCGTTTCTTTGGAAGGTAGCTGGTGTTACCCAATCACACACATGTTGACTGATACCTTGAAAGCAGATCTGCAGTTTCTTCCTTAAAGAAACCCTGAATGCAGCAGAGTCAGTCTGCTCCCCAGTAGCTGCCCTGGGTCCCTTCTCCTTCTTCACTGTCATCTTAAGGATTAGGCTCCCTCACTGATCTGAACTATTGCAGTTCTCCCTGCTCCATCTGTCTGCCTCTCATTGTTAGTCCCTTCCTTCCCTTTCTCCCATTTAGCAGGAAGCATATCTGTACCATCTCTCCATGTTTAAAATCCTTCATTACTGGTCCCTTGTATTCGAGATGCAGTCCACATCCCAATCTAACGTGTATAAAAGCCACCATCTGAGATCAATCCCAGATGCTTGGCCAGCCTGCTCTCGCTGCCACACCCCTAGCCTCCTCAGCTCATTCATTCATTACTCTAGCCACATCAAACTCCACGCTCTGGGTACAGGAAAAAGCCTGGGCAAAGAAGTGGTACTGGAAAATGAGATGATCCTTAAGCAATGGAGTATAAGATGTAGCCCAGTTGGTGCTAGGCATGTTTGTGCAACATTGCCATGAGTTGGTGCCGGGGCTCTGGTGCCCAGTTAAGGAATGGTGACAGGGTTAGCCAGTCATTCTCTCTAAGGAGAGGAAACTGTCTGCAGAGTTTGTCATGATCCACATCTGTACTCTGATACCCTCCTCTGTTTTTCTCCAACCTCAGCCTGTGATGGTGATCACTGGGGGCCTCACTGCAGCAGCCGGTGCCAGTGCAAAAATAAGGCTCTGTGCAACCCCATCACAGGGGCCTGCCACTGTGCTGCAGGATTCCGGGGCTGGCGCTGTGAGGACCGCTGCGAGCAGGGCACCTATGGTAACGATTGTCACCAGAAATGTCAGTGCCAGAATGGAGCTACCTGCGATCATGTCACAGGGGAATGCCGTTGCTCACCAGGATACACTGGAGCCTTGTAAGTGACACACTGCTGAGCAGTGTGGCAAAACCCACCCACTCTCTCCATTCCTGCTGTGCCACCATCATATTCCTTGTGCCTGGTTTCTCTTGCTGCCTGAATAGCTACTGACCAGTCTGGACTACGGGCCTGGATAAGGAGATAACCACTAGGTAATCCTGCTGTTTGGCTTTGAATGTCAGAGCTTAGTTAAAGTCCTAGGGCCAGCTTTCCAGCTTCCCTTTTAGTGAGGTGAAGGTAGTTAGAATGGCAATATTTGTGAGAGGTTGCAGCAGATTTGCATTTCTGCTCTGAATCTCTCATAGTTGCATTCACTGGTGACTGGTGACTGTTACTGGTGACTGTTAGTGGTCCAGGTTGTTCTGCTCTTTGTGGCAATTAATTAGCTGGATAAAGCTGGGTGGATTTATTATCTTAGAAAAGAGGAAAGGAGGACTTTCTATTACAAATAGTTCATAATAAAAAGATTAACTTGGTTATTTAATACCCACGGAAATATGTTGCTTTGTGGATATAAAGATATATGTATCACATCCATGTAGAATAAATGCAAATGCCTTAATTTTTTTCTGGAGAACATTGAAACAACTAGTTAACCTCCCATTACTTTCTTTATTTTGTGGGAAAGGCATTTTTAAGTTTGCTTCCATTAGCAAACAGAATAAGAGAATTTGCCATAAAAAAAGAAAAAAAAAGTGAGAGAGAAAAAACTTGTTTCCTTACTGAGAAAATTACACTTGTAAATCACCAAACCAAACACTTGGAAAAAATGCAGCTGATTAGGTAAATACTTCCTGCCAGCAGTGGCAATGTCTATGAAACAGGACTAAAGAGAAAAACTGCAATATCCTGGAGAGCCCTGATTTTCAGAAGAATGGACGATCATCTCACACTATTTAATTGGTAACATTGCTTTTATGGATTTTCATGAAGGTCACAGTTGAATAGGGGTGTGTGAAACATGGAGTGGCTTCACAGGAGAGCAAAAAAGACAAAGGCTTGGAGAAGAAGGTCCTTATGACATAGGTTAAAAGAATGGACACTTGTCAGTCTGGAGAAGAGAAAATTGAATATTGATTATGAACAATATGTGCCCAAAGAGGGTGATATGCAAATATTTCTACAATCTTTGAGGTTAGAACAAACACACTAACAAAAGTAGACTTACCTGTAGTGCAAGTTCTTTGTAAGAGTTTTATGGACAGTTCCTGTCACCAATGTATGTTTGGCCATTTTACTTCCAGGTGCTCTCAGGTAGGACAGATTTCCCTCGAACTGAACAGGTTTCATTAGAAAGTACCCCCAAACAAGAGAAGGACTAGGTGGCCCCTCAAAGATATGTCAGCCAATATGATTAATGTTCTTGGAATTAATTAATGAATAATAATTGAATGGAGAAAGTTTGTAGGTTTTAGGGTCCTGGGTGCTGTTATATCTGTGAACCTGAGGATGATGTGGTTGGGTAAGTAATGGTGTCTTCTTTTATACTTTAATCCCTCAGCTGTGAAGATCTCTGTCCTCCTGGCAAACATGGCCCACAGTGTGAGCAGAGATGCCCCTGTCAAAATGGAGGAGTGTGCCATCACGTCACTGGAGAATGCTCTTGCCCTTCTGGCTGGATGGTGAGCTTCCTTTCAACCCCCGCACCACCCCCCAAAGTCACCCGATCCAGGACATTCAAGCAAACACCCTGTGGAGGACATTAGTGCAAAAGAAAGTAGCAATGATGGTTAAAGGGTCCAGAATTGAAATTACTTATTAATTTAAAAATTCAAATCCTTTAGTCCAGAGAAGGCAGAAGGTAATTTAGTCCTAGACTTGAAGCACATTAAGGATCCTTAGGGAAAAAAATAGCAGCCATCTGTCCTGTATTTCCCCTAGGGATAAAAAGGAGACAAATACCTGGTCTCACACAGGATAGCAAGAGCTGAAAAACACTGGAGTTATTTAATAGTCATTTCCATAATTAGGTTTGTGGATTGTGTTGTTCTTTGAGAATATTATTCTAAATGTTATGTGAAAAAGTGTTACATAATTTGGTTATGTAAGTCTGGAGACACCCAAAGGTAAAGCAAGTGTACCTCCAGATACCAAGTACTGTAAAACTTCTCAGGGCCTTTGGTGTAATAATACAGGGGGAAGCTATGCTTCACGACACTTCCCAAACTTTGACCATGACCCTGTTTTCGCATAGCAATTTCACAGGCTTAGTGCTAGGTGGAAGACACAACACTAGAACATTGCCAATTAGACTCATCTGAGATCTGGAATTACATTTGTTCTCATCTCTATGGGGTGCTTTGTGCACATACCTGCTCGAAGGCAGAAGTATGAATGACCAATGTATGTTTCCTTCATTAATCATTGAGTAAAAAGAGCACTTTGCTTCCCTATCATTGACAAGGGTCCCAGAAGCTTGCAAAGATCTTTGTTCTTGCAAAGATCTCAAGTGACTTCTTAATTGCCAGATCCACTGAGGACTCTTCTGTTCCCATCCTGCTTCACTTCTCAGAGCTTTGACTCGTGGATCACACTTCCTTAACCTTTTCACCCTCCCCTTCCTACTTCTCTTACTAATGATCTCTTAGTTCCCCCTTCTTTTATATACCACATATTTACAGCATTTCCTAGATTTCAGTCTTATCTTTCTTCTCTTACTGTGAACCCTCTCCAAAAATCTCATATAGACCCAAAACTTTAAAAATTAGATACTGATTTCCCCAAATCTTGATCTCCCTGCCCTGAGCCCAGATGTGTATTTGTCACTCTCGTGTTAGACACCTGAGGCTTGATAATTGGAAATTTTCTTTATTGTGGGCATTGAACAGAGAACTGGCAGTCTACTCCCAAGGAACGTCTTGGAGAGTTCAAAATGTCAAGACCACGGGGGCAAGTATACATGGCTATCAGACCCCAGGTAGAAATGGTGAATAGGCCAGACCAAGTCTGATTCTAGAAGCTCAGGGTAGAGAAACTTCATAAGGAAATGAGTCAGAATAAAGGGGGCTTTCACTGAGAGCCTGAGGATGAGGTTAAGAGGGGAGCCCCTGGAGGAGTATGGGGCTCATTCCAGCCGGCCCTGCAAAGTTAATGAAAATAAACTCAAACTGGTCATGTGCCCATGAAGGCTTCCTTAAGGCTACTCCACCTCTAATTTTTTTTTAAATCTGAGTGAAACCCACCACTTTTTTCTCAGTTGTCCAAGGTAGAAATGCTAGATTATCTTTGGCTCCTTCTATTCTTTCATCTCCTGTATTTGGCCTTTTGCCAACATTGGTTCTTGGCAAGGGAAGGATTTTGCTGGAGTGTCAGTGTCCCAAGAGCTCTGTGGATAAGAAACTGCAGGCATTCTGCTCCTAGGACTTTTGTGTAAATACTGTTTGTGGGGTTGCTTCATCTTGAAGAAGAGAAAATTGAATATTGATTATGAACAACATGTGCACAAAGGGCGCAATATTCAAATGTTTCTACATTTGGAGCTTTTTCTTTTCAGCTGGGGTGGTCTTGATGTGGGATAGTGGTAACCATAACCTTGCATTGTGTCCCACAGGTGAACAGGTGGGCCCTCTCTCAGGGTCCCCTCCAGCCTGCCCTCCACCACTTCCTCTAGGCTCTGGGCTGCCTCCCTTAACAACTTTCTTTGAACTCCTCTGTGTGTGGCTGGGCTTCCAACTTTATACTTTATTTGTTCTATCATTTTAGGTATCTTTCAAAGGTAAGCACATAACTCCTATTATCCCTACATACACATATATTTCAACTAATAAAAATAATGTCCCCCTTAAAGCTGCTGGCTCACATTAGTCCTTATTCATAAACAAGATTTCAACATCATCCCTGGAGCTTATGTAGAACCATGATGGGTAGTGAGGATTAGGCCCGAGTGAGGATTTATACCAGCACACCCGCTCACAGTGTGCAGACCCTCCACCCTCGGCATGGTCCTTCAGTCATGTTTCCACCTTACACTAAGTATAGTGTGCTGTGTTAGAATAGAAGGATTAGAATGATTTTTACACCTGTTTGTGAACTAATTAGGGATTGTGAACTTTTCTTTGATTTTCAGTGCTTAGCACTATGCCCAGCACATAGATGATTCTCAGTTAAGCACTAATTTGAATCATCTCAAAGAATTTTTCGGTTCCAAGTGTCTGTAGGAGAACTTTCCCTGTTTGTAGATGGCTAGAAACCACCAGAGGAGACTTAATTAGCACACCAACTGCCTTTGTGGGTAGCCAGTAGTTAGAGGAAATGTATTTTCTTATGCTATCCAGAATAAACATTTACAAAACCATCTGGTGTTTGCTAGGCTCCAATTCCAGAGTGTTCACAGTCTGCATTTTTTTTTTTTTTAAGAGAAAGAGAGAGGACAAAGCAGCTTCTGACCATTAAAATCATTGAAAAATCCCTGTTATGGGGGATATGATATTAACTCTAATTATAACTCCAATAAATACTCTCACCAGCTATAACCCCAGGAAATTAGGAGCTACAAGACCAAGTTATGTAGCTAAGTGGAGTATAAATATTAGAGTATTTCTTTGACTTCTCAGTATAGTATCTTACTCATATCCAAACAGATTTGGAATAAATACAAGGATTGTACTTGACAAGATGGATATTCTCTAGGGTAAGGAGAAATGTCCAATTTACTTTCTCAATTTTTCTTCCTGGGAATAAGCTTTCCTATTGATCTTGGCTCAGAAGTACCCATTGAACCTACTGAAAATAAAAGCTTTTTTCTTCTGAAATAAACGCCAAGGTTCATTCCTGTGCAAGTATTTCTTATGCCATGTGGCTGTTAATTCAGGTACATAAAATTTCAGACTTATGTTTTGTTAGATTTTAAGAAATATAGCCAGTGAGGATGTGTATTTTCTCTGGAACATATGGTAAAACATTTGGATATTCCATTTGCACCAGATGTTGCCTTTTATGTAACGGATGCTCAATAAGTATTGTTGACTTATTGTGCATGTAAGACACAAGGAAGAACACTTAGGAGGATTTATAAATTCCTTAGGTTGTCATAATAATTTGACGTAACTTTATCTGAGGCTTCAGTTTTAAATATGGATTTTTCTTAGGATTACTATTCTGCTGTCTTACAATGTACCTTGAGATTTGAGCTTACCAAGTAAATAAGCCCACTTAAAATTCCTAACATTTATGAGATGATGATCAGTTTATGTGTTTTAATATTCTTTAATTTTCTTGCAGCCCGGTTCCTATCTCCTTCCTTCCCATTCTGTTTCTTCTCTTTCCTTCTCCCTCCTTCCATCCTTCTCTGGCTGGAAGCCCATTTAATTTTCCAAGTCTCTTTGAATACAGGGCACAGTGTGTGGTCAGCCTTGCCCTGAGGGTCGCTTTGGAAAGAACTGCTCCCAAGAATGTCAGTGCCACAACGGAGGGACATGTGATGCTGCCACAGGCCAATGTCATTGCAGTCCAGGATACACAGGGGAACGGTAAGGGACACTCTTGTATTTCTCCAACTATTCATAATGGCATGGAGGAAAAGTTTGGAGTGTCTGGGAAGCATCTTCAGAACCATATGTCTATAACTGTTACATAAGATTCCAGAAGCATCTGTTGAGTATTCATGTGTTTGAAAGATTTTATCCTAATTCAACATGCAGAAACTGAATCACAGTTAATGAACTGAAGATAATGGAGAAGTTGGGCTTGGTGGCTCGTGACTATAATCCCAGTGACTCAGGAGGCTGAGGGAGGATGATCACAAGTTTGAGGTCAACCTCATCATCTTAGGGGGGACCCTGTTTCAAAATTAAAAGTAAAAAGTTGCTCAGTGGTAAAGCACCCCTGGGATCAATCTCTAGTACAAGACAAAACAAAATAACAATAACAATGAAACCCAGAGAGAAATATCATGGAGAGAGGAGAGAGAGAGAGAGAGAGAGAGAGAGAGAGAGAGAGAGAGAGAGAGATATCATAAAATATCAGCTATTCAGAACTCAAGATGAATGTGTTGTTCTGAAAAATTGAGCTTTTAGGATGCCATTTACATTTTAAGTATTTTTGGATCAATTGATTTAAAAATGGGATGTATACTTACTTAGGTACCTTTAAAAAGCATAAAGTTTACCTTCCTAAGATATACCATTCTGGTAAGAATATTAGTCATCATACTATGTGATACCATGTGGTGATGATAGAGTAAGACCCCTGGGACTCCAGGGTTCTCTGACCCACATGAAATAGGAGCAAGGGCTAGCTCAGGTGTTTCTTGCACCATGGTTTGTCATTTCCTGTGTAGGTGCTAAACTGTTACCTCAGGGTTTTGCTCACCCTACTTCTGATTTGCTCTTGATCTGTTTTATCCTGGAAGACTGGGAACTCAAGCTTATCGGATATGTATGTAAATTAGAGAAAAGACTCGACAGACAGAAGGGTATAATGATTAAGAACAAAAGGTTTTGGAACCTGGGTTTAGGCCAGTGTGTCCTTGGAAATGATTCTATCTGTAATGTTCAAGTCGTAATCATACTTTACCCTAAGGGTATCATAAGAATGAAATTAGAAGTTAGTACATTAAAGCCTTCAGGCCTCAGGACAGTCCTGCAGTTGATACATACAGTTGTTGTTATAATTAAATTATGTCTGTGAACTGTATAAAATTAGCTGTCACGGGTTTTGTGATGCCTGTGAATTAAAAATCTCTTTTGCCTCTCTCCACCCTCTTTTTTTCTAACATTCTATTTTATGACTTTTTTAATAAGTAGGGTTTATTTGTTTTTTTCCCTTCCCACATACACTCTGAAATTTCTGATTAAATATATTTCTAAGAACTGTATAATTTTTAAAAATTCCAATTCAGTTTTTAATTGAATATTTCTAGATAAAGAAAAACACTTGTGAAAGTTTACTTTATAATTTAGTCACCCTGCCAAACTTCTAAATTAATTTTAATGTTATTAAAACACTAAAATTATTTAGTTGTACAATTCGGTCATCTGCAGATTAAGTTGGCCTTTTTCGATATTTAGAGTGATTCATTTCATTTTCTGGAATTATTGCATGAATTTGAGCCTCTGAATTAGCATTGACAAATCAGGGTCAACTTGGGAATTCTCATCTTCTTCCTAATTTTACTGGAAATGGCTTCGGTGTAATTGCATGTTTGCTATTGGTTGTTAGTAAATTGTCTTCTTTGTGCTTACATACTTTTTTTTTCCTTAGTCCCTATTTTTGTTAAGTATTTTTGCTAGTAGTATCAACTTAATTTTATTAAAAGCTTTTAAAAAATCTTTTGTTAGTATAAATTATATGTTTCCTTTAATTATTTGATGTTATGAATTATTGACATCTAGTACATAGTTATTTTATAACATGTAATTGGTCTACTCAGAATGTTTTTTTGTGACCAACAGCCTAGTTCTAGGAAATATTTTAGGCAGATGAAGTTGTTAGGTAATTTCTGGACCTGGGTAACATTTTATTATAGAAAAATGAGGGAGGACACAAGACCAAGCTGAACCCTAAGTAATATTTTATGTCACATTTCTTGGTCATTAAAAATTTCAATGTAACTGTTTTATTGTCCTTTAAGGATTTAAATTTAAAATTAAAGACAAGAGAAAACAATACACATACAAAACCAGTGAGCTCACACTCATTTGGAATATAGGGAAGAAAGTAACAGCTGTTAGGTAAATTTTAAAAGCAAGGAAGACAAAAGTTAGAGAGAAAGGAATAATGACAGAGCTTGCTTCTTGAATTATTGCTCTTATAACTACTGTTTTCTAAGGCACCAAGGCTGATGATGGTGTGATTCCTGTTTTCAATGGCTACCCCCATCTGGGTTCTAGAGTGAACATACATACCCACCAAATGACAACAAGCATATTTGTCATTGTGAAAGAAAAACAATGAGTGGCTATGGGGCAGTTTGTGGCAGGAGGTGTGGGGGAGGAGACCTCAAGGGGCTTGACTTGAGAAGTCAGTGTAACTTGACCACTGAGGTTAGGACAGATGGCTGCTGCTCTGGGGGCAGATCCCACCACAGGCAGTGGCCAGCAAAGCATTCTCAGGATGTGGGGACAGGCTCCTAGCCACAGGGAAGCAAAATACCGCCAAACAGGCACCTTGCAGTTGGTAGAGCTGCATGGGGCATACCCAAATGGAGGCTTTGGGGTTTGTGGAAAAGTTGGGAGGATATTGTGGTGAGGGAATGTAAGGTGGGGGAGTCAATTAAGAGTGAAGGAGAGGATGTTTGCAGATCCTCTCAGAAGTTCTTCTGAGGATGTTAAGAAAGTGTGCCTCATGTTAATGGTTTTATCACAGAATTGCCCTGGCCTTTGATACCCTAGCAATCACATAGGCACATAATGGGTGCTTAGTAAGGATTGGATGGATGAAGGAATCTGTGATTCAATAACGGACTCTGTTAAGGTAGAGCCCCAAGGCAGTTCTGCCAAGCCTGTTCTGCTTGACCCTAAACATGAAGATAAATGTGGATGAAAGGAGGTAGTCAGACATGGAAGCCAGACACCAGGGAACATTGGTCTTCAGTGGAGGAGCTCTTTCCTGTCACTATAACTATGGAAGAGTTGGCTCCTTCCCAGAGCTTTTGATGTTCTCCCGGAGCAGCAGTTCCAGATGTCAGAAAGGCAGGCAGCTGACCCTCTAAGTCTAGGTTAAACGAGGAACATGATTCTCTCACACTAAATTATGATTGTGCCAACTATTCTGGTCACTCTCGGGAGAAGTGTGCTCAAAAGGACAAGGGAGGAAGGAGGATCTGCCACCCCTCACACAAACTCACTTCCTTCCTTTCAAGTTACAATGAGATGTGACATAATTATCAAAATGACTTTGATACAAGTCCGGGATTCCACTGGTTTGGGAATTAGTGTAATGTTTTATTAGTGTAATTCTACTGAGTGCTTATTCATCCTTCCCAATTCCAGGGCATTAGTTGGGATAAATAAAAGTAGATATCAAAAATGTCTATATTTCCATTTTGGTCAGTATTTATTAGTTCTCTTTCATTTCTCTTAAGAAAATGTATTCCCCTTTTCATTGTTTCCTGAGAGAGTTTTTCTCATTCTGTTTGGGGCCACAAGAGCAGTATGAAGGCCTTAAAACATGTTGAGCTGAAGATAAAGGAACCATTCAGAAATGCTACTCCACGATTATGTTTATTTTCATTATGAAAAAAGTCCCATATACATGTATAGGATTATTATACTGTGCCCTTTGAATTGGTGCAATTAAAATAGTAAGTTTTTAAAAGATGGAAAGTGTCTACTTCTAGAAAGACCTCCCGCCATCTTGGTGTGGTAGATGGCCTGAGTATTATTAACAGATGCTGTCACAAGTACAGACTGACAAAAAAAAAAAAAAAAGAACCAAGTTGACATGATGGCTGCTTTCGAAAGTAAAATTCAAATGACTGTGTTATGTATTTATAATACAAATTAGTAGTGTGTTTAATTACAGAATGAAAACATAAATATGGGTCAGAACCTGTTATTATGCATTTTTTTTTCCCAGAGAAAAGGAAATCTCTGCCAAGATATGATAAAATATGCACACTGGTTCCCTGTAATTTGGTGGCAGATACTTTTCAGGCTTTCTGTCTTTACCACTTTCAACCACTTCTAGAACTGTGCTTTTTTTTTTTTTAAACAAAGCTGGAGTCATGCAGATAATCCAAAGCTTAATATTTTGGTTTGTCTTCAAATCCATGTAAGAAGAGAAAGCAATATTATTTCACATTGTTTATCTTTCTCCTTTTGTTACTGATTTGCAAGGAAATAAAAACCAACAGGTTGTCAAGTTGTTTTGCCAGCTTTCAGTGGAAACCCTGATGGAGTCACAGCACTGAATCTCAATATTTCTTTCTTTACAGTTTATATCTTTAAGGAATAAACTAGATGACTTGGCTCATTAAAATTCCTTACATGTTAAAAATAATGAGAACCTTCGAAAGCCTGGAGCAGTGGCGCACACATATAATCCCAGCCGCTTGGGAGGCTGAGACAGGAGAATCGCAAGTTCAAAGCCAGCCTTGGCAATTTAGCGAGGTCCTTAGCAACTTAGTGAAATCCTGTCTCTAGGTGAAAAATAAAAAGGGCGAGGGATGTGACTGAGTGGTTGAGCACCCCTGGGTTCAATCCTCAGTACAAGAAAAAACAAAACAAAACACCCTCTGGTCTAAAAATAGGTGTACTCGTGTGTAACTCTAAAGAATACTTTGGATTTCACGCCAAGTGTTAGCTCAGTTTCTCCAGAACTTCTCTAAGGGTCTAGGAGTGAAGACTTTAACTGTTGACAGGTGTACCTAAAGATGTCTAGAACCAACAAAGCCAAACTTACAAGAGGAGGCCCTTTTCCTTGTCTCCATCACATTCAATATATGCTAGAGCCAGAGGTAACCAGAGAATTCCCAACATTCGTCCTCTGCTCTGAGAATCGTGGTTCTAGCAATCATACCCTGTTCAGGATGTGCAAAACCTTGTAGAAAGGCTGTTTTGAGAATGTTTCTTTACTGTTTCTTTCCAGCATTCTGGAATTTGTTATCATGGTTTGTTGCTCGCATTATACGGATCTGAAAAATGCAATGCTGACCTACATTTTGACTCTGGGTCTGGCATGACCTGAGAGCCACATGGAAAGTGGCTGCTGAGACAAAGTGTACCGTCCTTGTGGTGAATGCTCAGCTAGATGAAACCCTGTCTCCCTCTCCCTTGGCAGAGAGCTCTCCTTCTGTTGTGGAGAGCCCTGTCACCGTCACCTCATCTCGCCAAGAGGAAACTTGGCTAACCCAAGAGCCACTGGCACTTTCTGTGGAGCAGCGATGAATAATTTTCTCTTTTCTGTCATGGTTTCCTCCAGCAACTTAGCTTCCCATCTCACTCACCTTACCTACAGTGAGTCCCTCCACCAGGATGTCGCTCCAATGCCATTAAACAAACAAACAAACAAACAAAAACAATGAAGTAAAGTTTTGAGGTCTGATATTATTTTCCTTGACCTTTGGCAGCCCTTCTTCATAACAGAGGACAATATCCCACTTGCCAAAAATATTGTTAGGAAACTCCAAGCCTCCCTATGATCTCCTGGCTGGGCTTCCCAGGTTGGAATAGAAGACACCTGAGCTCAGAATTCCCCAAACTTAAAAAGGGCATCTTCATGAGTTACTTAGCTTTCTAAATGAGATACAGTGATTCAACTTTGAAGAGAGTGGAGACACCGTTCAAGTTAAAAATTAATTTCTCTTTTTTTTCTACACAGAAAGCCAAGAGAATTAAAATTTACTATCAAATTTGCTACCAAGTTTCCACCCCCCCTTGGGAACAGAGGCCACATGCTTTTAAATTTCTTAATTATGGACTGTGACTAACATTTGGGCGATTGCTTTTCTCCCTTTTTTGGTACCTACTAAAGTACTATGTATGCCTTTGGCAAGCATTAAGTATGAAACCTGCTTCATGTCCTGAGCTCATCATTTTATTTTGCTTTGGTTTATTTCTTCGTTCAACAGTCATACTGTTGTCACTACTGTGTGGCGGAGTAATTCACCTCAATGCTTTTCTACCTATAATGGGAGAATTGCTATATAAGTTCAAAAAGCAATTTTAATTTTTACATCATAAAACCATTTTGAATGGATACTCCCTCTGCCCACCCCAGTATTGGGATTAAACCCAGAGGCACTATATCACTGAACTACATCCCCAATGCATTTTCAAATTTTTATTTTGAGACAGGGTCTCACTAAATTGCTGAGGCTGGCCTTGAATTTGCAATCCTTCCGTCTCAGCCTTCAGAGTTGCTGGGATTCCAGTGGTGTGCTTCTGCACATGAGACACATGACCATGAGACGACTCTTTTATTTTCACCTGGCACTGACTAATCTATCTACTGTCCCCATTTCTTGCTTGATAGGTGTCAGGACGAGTGTCCTGTTGGAACCTATGGGGTTCGCTGTGCTGAGACCTGCCGGTGTGTCAATGGAGGGAAGTGTTACCATGTGAGTGGCGCATGCCTCTGTGAAGCCGGCTTTGCTGGTGAGCTCTGTGAGGCTCGCCTGTGTCCAGACGGGCTCTATGGCATTAAATGTGACAAGCGATGTCCCTGCCATCTGGACAACACTCACAGGTGAGTGTTGGCTGCCCCTGGAAGAATGTGTCCTCTCAAAGTTTTAAATTTAGTTGTCCAGGATTTGGAAACAGGGATTGATAGAGTTTGGCACCCTAAGACCTTTCCTGCCTCTGGGTTGTCCTGGGTAGGAATTAACAAATCCAAGGAGAATGTTTTCACTTAGTGATTGATGACCCATGTCAGAAGTACTAAAATTGTTAGATTGGTAGACATTAAATTCTTTTATCTATTAATGGCCACTGGCAAAAATTAAATTTGCTGAGATTAGTAGAACTCTTCCCTGAGAGAGGAATTCTGTGACATGCCCTTAGAAGCAAAGATTCAGTGGAGGAACAAGGGCTTATGCCAAGGTTAGGATGCAAAAGATCATAAACCCAATCTCAGTGCAACATCTTTTCCTTAACAACAAATCTATGCAAGCAAAAGGGGCTATAGAGAGGAAGTGGGAGTGTAGAAATTTTTTGCAAGTGTTCACATGTGGTTGTCACCTGGGAAATACCTTTCCAGGATTGATTACTTTGACACACAACCCACAGGAGTCTGTTAGCTCAAAAATCTCTTGAAGAATTTTAGAACAGGAAACCACAAACCCACCCACCCTACTATATCTAGTCTGCCCCTGAAAATATCTCCCCACCAATTCTCTTCTTTTTCTTCCTCTAAGGACCAGAAACACATAACTTAGAATTTGGGGCCTTGTTTGCAGACTTCTGGAAAAGCTGCATGTGACTGGAATGTAGTACATTATATAGAAGTTCAGATGTTACTAGAATTACTTTTATTTGCATTCAGCACAGATGTTGCTTCATTTATTAACTGAAGAAAACTCATGGCTGCATGGAATCCCAAATGCACAAGAGTTAAAAGTAAACAGAAATATGTGGACAGTCTCTCTTCTTTAATCCATTGTTAGGAACCAAAAACAAAAACCAAGCAATAACAACAACAACAACAAAACCCTTGTAGTGTGTGTGTGTGTGTGTGTGTGTGTGTGTTTATGGTAGAATATGTTTAAGTGTGACATATCAAAGAATTGTATTCTTAATGTGATTTAAATAACTTTTTGTAAGCCGCATTAATCAACTTCTGGTTTTGCTCATTGGAAAATGTTGTCATTCTTTACATGACAGGCTTAGGTAAACATTTGGGAGGGTAATATTTAAGAAGGTAATTGGATTAGAGAAAAGTCATAAGTTTGACTTCCTTTCCTACAGTATAAGATTTGTTGCAGTGAGAGGTAAGTGTCCTGTAGTATTAGCCAAGAGCATTGTCTAGTGTGCTTTGCTGTATGTAGATACAGCTGAAGCATATAGAACAATAAACCTATAGAAAGAAAGAGCTCTGCTATGAGAACAGTTGGAGAAACCGAGATAATATTGATAGTGGCAAGATGCAGGTGGAGAGTTATTTGATTGATGCCAATCCTGTGATAATTGTGACACAGGTCATGTGTAACTAAGTATGTTTGCTTTAACAAAGTGTGTGAGATTATCTACAATCATATAGATCAAACAACATGAAAATCTGTCTAATAATGTGTATAAAATAGAAGATTTTAAAAGTCTATTTTTTCCCTAAATCATGAAAGCTGTTTTTGAAGATTAGCTTTTACACATTTCTATTAAGACACATTGAATATTGATTATATCGTTCTATTTTTTTGAACTCACAGTTGTAGCCATTCGTTAATTCTTGTATCTTGACTATTCATTAGTTCTTTTTCTTGTGGTTCTAGGGATTTAACAAAGGGTCTCACACCATGTTAAGCAAGCACTCTTCCACAGAGCTCTATCTTGAGCCCTTGCTAATTCCTTATATGTTGAACTTCCATTTAAAATTCTTGGAAACACAAACAAGTTCCCTTCAAACCAAAGGCATGAAATTCTTGTTTTAATTGGAAGTCTAACTTGTTCACTTACCACTTAATCAAGCAAGCTGAGCTGTGCTGTTACATAATTCATGATATATATTTATCCTAAAGCCTTTCATTATAACTATTGAGAAAACTAATTCAATTTAAATTAATACTTTACATTGTCTTTAGGTAAATTTTGATTTCTATGAATCTACATGTTGATATATATTGTGGCCATATACTTGGGTAGGGGTTTGTAGTGATTAGCTTTTGCTGCGTCGTAAAAAAACAAACTCCCTAAACTTAGCACAAAACAACATTTGCTGATGATTTTCTGATTGGCTATTTGGACTGAGCTCAGCTTTGTGGTTCTTCTGCTGGTGCCCCTGCAGCTGGCAGGATGACTGGAAGCTGATTGATCCTGGATATTCTTACTCACATGTCTGACATTTGGCTGGGTGATTGCAGTGACTGATCCATACATCTCCAGCATCTAGCAGGGCTTTTCTACATCATGACTGGCTTCTAAAAACAGCACTAGACAGGGCAAGCACCAACATGCAAACATATTTCAAGCCTTGGTTTTGTTATGTGTGCTAATGTTTGTTTATAAGACAAAGCAAGTCCAAATTCAATATGCTCCACCTCTTGATGGAAGAAGTTACAAAAAACTTGTAACTATTTTTATTTTGCAATCAATTATAAAACTGAAATGACTTTGAATGTATTTATAACTAATATTGCTACTTTGAATTTTAGCACTATTGTTGAACCTGAAGACATTTCACTGTGGCTTTTCAACTTAAAACTAACTTTTGTGGTGGAAATGATTTTTAACAATAAAATAAAATTTGATATTTAATCAAAAGCCTTGTGGGATATGTATATTAGCTCTTGTTAATAAGGACATTCAATAGCCATTGGCAATCAGGATGTGCCTCTTAGTAAATGCCACCTAATTGCTATTGCCTTTGAGTATTAATAACATCTAAGGAAGTGAATTAAAGGAAGTTCAATGACTCATTCTGTTTAAGCCAGGATTATACAGTCTAATACTAGGACTCTTGCTATAATTTAGCTATTAAATTGAAAACTTACTAGAAAATGTGTATTAAGTTATATCTGTATATGAAATGACAAATATTCCCCTATGTGTATAATCCTATTTTTATATACGCAAAGCAATCTGTTCTTTAGATGGAAAACAGATATTGAGTGTATCACCCTTCAACCTCTAGTCTGCTGCTCCTACATAAACACGTAAATCTCATTACCAATTAAGCTGCCTGCATGAGAACACATCAAATGCCTCCAAAGTGCTCTGGCTTCCTACATCTAATTACAAATTGCAGAATACTAATTTTGGTGTCAATCAATCTGAGAACCAGTGTGCTGCATTCCTACTCACTGGGGGGCATTGAATATCAATTTCTCTGTCTGCCTCTCTCTCAGTTCAATTCTCTGTCCCCATATTATCTATTTTGTTTAATATTTATGCCTAAGTTGTGAATGTAAACCAATGTTTCTCACCAAAAATGTCCTTTTTTATAGTATAAGGTAAACTACCTAATCCATCACTTGAAATATTTTCTGTTCCTCTTTTTAAATGTAGGGCCTTATTGAAGTAAATTTAAATTTGTCTGTGTTTGCTTGCAGGGGCTGATGACCTCTTATCAGTGCAAAAGCCAGAACTTTAGATATTCTCTTTCATATCTAGTTCCCCATGCAGGCTGCTAGTGAACTTGCTTTCTTTGGTATAAAAACCGAACAAACCTGAGTTTAAATTTGATTCTGTCACTACCTGTTTGAACAAATCTTAAACTTTCTAGGCCTCTATTTCCTTGTTTATAAAATGGGATCATGCATTATGTCCCCGGAGAAAAGATGTGTCTGAAGGAGGGTCCGAGGAGTTCCTGGAGAAAAGGAGAAACTTGACTTAGGGCCAGGGGGGTTCTTGGCATTCCCGACAAGAAAGAATTCAGCATGGGCCAGTCAAAGGCATAGACAGAGCTTTCTATAGGACAGTAGACACATATTTAAGGGAGAATGGGAACAATCTCAAGAGATACCTTTTGGGTAAAGCAAGGAATACATATTCAAAGGAGAATGCAGACCCATCTGCAGAGGAAGAGACAGCAACCTACTGGTGTGAGTATTCACATTTATAGAGTTGCTAGGAGCTGGTTTAGAGGTGACGCCAGGAAAGAGCTCTACAATTTCACACCAGTTTTCCCTATTTTTGCAGATTGCCCTCATATTACAAAGGCATGTCACTCAGGAGTTGCAGGTGTTTATAGGCCCTATCTGAATTTCAGTGATTCATGGGCACTTCCGTTGAGAACCAGTCTCTCTCTCACTCTTTATTCCCAAATTATTATTTCAGTCACAAGAATGGGATTAAATAATGCACATGGAGTGTTTATCAGAGTGGCACCCATTCAGAGCTCCATAAATAGTAGCTGCTGGTCTGTGCATTCACATATAGTATCATCATAGATACCACAGAAGTGTGTTCTACAATAAGTAGCAATTCCTTTTAATACTAACTTTAGGGGAAGCCTCACTTTATATGCAGGTACGCTGATTATTATTTAGCATTGCTCAATGGCAGAGATGTCAGAGAGGAGCAGATCTGTGTCTGAAAGTTAGATCTGAAGTCAGATCTGCTATACATCAACTTTCATTTTCATTTATTCACTCAGACTTTATGGTACGCTGAGGACAGGGAGAAAAATAGACTGAATTCTTGCCCTCATAGAACTCATATTGTAGAGGGGAAGGAAGTTGTAAAAGTAAACATAAGATTACCAATTGTGTAAAAGGGAGATGAAGAGAAAGATCAGAGTGCAATAAAAGAGAAGAATCAGAGGGACTTCATTAAAATTTTGGGTGGGGGTGGGGGTGATGATGGTTGGAGCAGACCTCTTTGAAGAAGAGATGTGTAAGCTGAACCTGGCAGGACAAGGTGGAGAGAGATAGGCAAAGAGTAGGGAAATTCCCTTCCAGCAAAACAGACTATCCCATGGGAGGTCCTTAAGTTGACAATACTTGATGCTTTTATAAGCTAAAAGGAACCTAGTGTGGTCAAACATAGTAATAAAGAGGGAACAATGATGAAAGGAGAGGTGGAGAAGAGACAGTGGCCTGATGCTGAGTGTCACGGCTATATTTAGGGGACCATGTATCTGTTTTGACAGGACGTTATATAAGTCTGAGCTCCCTATTCACTCTTTAAAATGTCCTGGTTTAAACAATAATTAAATAGTTACACTAGCTGTATTAAACCATGTGGATCTTGTTCTAAGTGAAACTTTGAAGAGTTTTCAGGAGAATGACATGTTTTCCTGTTTAGGGAATGAGTCTGTGTGCAGCAGGGAGAAAGGATATTGGGCTGATCAGAAGCTGGGGAGGTCTGGCACTGGCATGGAGTAGAATAGTGACATTAAAGAGGAAGAGATGTGGATAGATTCAAAATGCATTTTGGCGTTGGAATGGATAAGTTCCAGTGATGAACTTTTTCTACTCCCAAGAAAGCATCATCTCAATTACAGAATTGCTTTTGAATGTTTCTTTAGGCCATATTTTATGAGGATGTTTATGATGGATGCCCAGGTTTATGCCTATGGGCCTTTAGTTGAAGGGGGGTCTAAAATTTAAACAAATTTCTGAAATTTAGGATGAAACCATCCAACCTATAGGCTTTTTCTGAAGGAGGAGGAGGAGGAGGAGGAGGAGAAAAATAAAAGTAGAACATGAGATTATGGGTTGTGGCTGAGACCCTTGTTTGACAGATGAGTCATTGGGCCAGGGGAGGTTGTGTGCCTTCACTGAGGTTACTGAGGCAGTGCAAGAAGTGGAATTACATCCTCAGCCTTCACCCCTTCTAGGCCATCATTCTTTCCAGGAGTAAAGAGTCCATGAGCAGTCCTGTGATGAGAGGTCATTTAGCAAATTCTGGATGCCACTCAGGACTTTGCAGTTTGCCTTAATTAAAGGGGGGGCTTGAGTTCCGTCAGGGGAGGAAGATCATCTTTGAACAGGCTTCCAGTTGTCCACAGAGCTAGTGTGACTGTTAAGGTTTTCCTCTGGGGGGAAGCACATGTGCTTTGGTCCAGTGTGCCACAGACTGCTCTATTGTGTCAGACTCATGTCCACGTGCATCTTAGCACAGCTGATGTGTCCATTTGCTCTGGAGCAGCAGCTGGCCGCCTGGCCCGGCAATGTGGCTGCTGTTTCAGGTAGCAACAGCTGCTCTGCTATCAGGTAGAGGGAGCTGAGTGGGAAAACAGATTCACAAGGCCACGGTTTCTGGAGATCCTTGGACTTCACACTGGTTAACTGATGAGATATTGTCATTGGGATGGAGTTCTTCAGTGTTTCTCATAGAGATGGCTTCTTATTGAATTGTTGCGTTCAATTTTAGAAACTTTAAAGAATTTCAGATGAATAGATGGAGTTGTAATAGTCATCATTCTAGAGCATGATGTTGATTTCATACATTTCTGCAGTATCAATTAGGTTTCAGCCAATTAATTACATCACACCAAGCCTGGAAATGAAGTTTAAATTAGTGTGCATGGAATTACCCACACATCCTTTAGTGATCATGGCTAAAGCAACATTTGCATGGGCCTTGGGTGTCATGTTTACCCCAGAGTGATTTGTTTCTTTTATCCACGTCTTTCAGCTGTCACCCCATGTCTGGAGAGTGTGCCTGCAAGCCGGGCTGGTCGGGACTCTACTGTAATGAGACATGCTCTCCTGGATTCTACGGGGAAGCTTGCCAACAAATCTGCAGCTGCCAAAATGGGGCTGACTGTGACAGTGTGACTGGAAAGTGCACCTGTGCCCCAGGATTCAAAGTGAGTGACTTGGACTCTAGAGGCAGGAGAAGAGGGATGTGGAGCATAACAACAGCATGATTTGTACAACCTGCTGTAAAGTACAGTGAATGTGCTCCAGTCATTCACATCATGAATAAGAAGAGAAAAAGGATAAAGTATGAATAGAGACATAAGTAATGACCTTGGAATGATGATGAGAAAGCCGGCAAAACTCTCAACATGTCATTAATGTTTAATATATGAATATACCAGGAAATATAATGCATTATAATTATTCCTTAAGTAATTATTTTGCTATGCTTTTATAGGCAACAAAGAAGTTTCTTTTCCAAGTAGGTTAGTTATTATTGTTGACCGTTATTCTTTTAATTCAATGAAATTTGAAGACACAACATACATCAAGTTATCATTTATTATGTATTAACATTCTTTTTTTCTATTTTTTATTTGTTTTAATTAGTTACACATGACAGTACAATGATCTTGAATGTATTAACATTCTTTAGTTAGTTGCACATAGTAGTTAGGTTCCTTTTTCCTTTGAGAACCAAGACTCTACAAATATACCTGTATGCTAACACAGCAGAATTTTGTCTATGGTTTCTAGGGTTTCTTACCTATAGTTTAGGGATCTTTGTTTTAAAGGAAAATGTGTTTTTTGGAATTATTTCCTCCCATTTTAAAGAAGAGAACATGGGACTGTGACAAATGTTTATGGTATTCCTGAACTCATCATATGGAACTGGCAGGTCATGCAGTCACAGAGCTGAAAAGATCTTTTCAGGGTTTGCTAACCTATGTCCCAATTCTTTGAGCCCTTAATTAGCCTTAAGAGTCCCTCCTTTATTTTATTTTTTTAAAGATATGCCCTCCAGTCACCTTGGTAGTAAGCCAATTCTGTGTTTAATGCTGTCAGATAAATTGAATTGCCCTCCTAGCTGAGTGTGTTCTATTTCTTTGTTTCACCCACTACAAACATTACATATTATACAAGGATGTCTAGGAAGCATTGGGAACTAATGGATAGTTCATATTTATGCTTGTATATTTACTGGTGGTAATTTTACAGCTACAATTTGTTTTTATTTATCGACTTGTCTGAGCAAGGACAAAAGGTTTATTTTTTAGTTATGCTCTGAAGGCAAATCTCATGAAGGCAGCAGACTTTTGGATCCCATTTAATATTCTATCCTAAACAGAGCACCAATAGTATTACCCTTGCATCTCTAAAATTTATATAGTGGTGACATTATAGCAACTTTTAAAAAATGCGATGTGTTAAAATTAGAAAGGAAGCATAATTAGCACCACCATGATATACTTTTGTTTATTTGTGTTGTCCTGATTTCAGTCAGCAAAATTGCCTGCCTTTTGCTATTTGTGCCTGTTTAGGGAAGTGACTGCTCCACCCCATGCCGGCAGGGCACCTATGGGATAAACTGTTCCTCTCGCTGTGGCTGTAAAAACGATGCTGTCTGTTCTCCTGTAGATGGGTCTTGTACTTGCAAGGCAGGTAAGAGTGGGTGAATGAGTTTTTTAATTTAATCCTGGTCTTATTATCATCTAAAGTCATGGGATAGAAATCTTGAAGAGGGTTCTAGCTGTAGTTGCATCAAAATTCAGTGGCTGACCTCAGCAAGCCCCTCATCCCATGTAGGTCTAATGCCTTCATGAATCAATGAAAAGAGGCTTACATTAGATGGTCTCTGAAATTGCTGCCAGCTTTAGAAGTCTGCGAGTCTTTGCTTTGGGCAAGAGTAAACAAGCAGACGTGTGTCTGTGTCCCAAAATTGACTGACCTGGAATCATGACAAGAAATGCAGCCAAGCACAGATTCTATGTGAGGCCCAGAACGTGTCCATCCGTAGATGGAGCCAGGATCTTGGATACACATTGTTCATGGTTAATGGAAACCCGCTTCAAAGATGGGGTTGTTTTTTTTGTTTTTGTTTTTGTTTTTTTCAAGCACAAACTTTCCTCTTCACCCACATAGTTTCTGATCTGAATGAAATTCAGCTTCCATAGTAGGCATCACTGCATGTCGAAGGAGCTCCACTCCATAGCTCTTCTCCAGTGGCTCAGTGGTGCTCCTCCGTGTTGGCATCCTTGACGGCACACACGGCTGTTTGGGTCCTCAGGGGTGCCTTTTGTTCCTTTCTGATGGAGGACTTCTGTAGCAGAGCCATGGCTCTGTATGGCTGGGGCTGGGGCGGAGAGGCACTGTGATGCATCTCCAAGATGTTTCTGGAGGGAAACTTGGCTCGGAAAGTCACCACAAGTCCCTGGTGCCTTTGTTTCCTCATTGCTCTGGCGTTCTTGTTGTGCAGGCTGGCACGGGGTGGACTGCTCCATCAGCTGCCCCAGTGGCACCTGGGGCTATGGCTGTAACTTAACATGCCAGTGTCTCAACGGGGGAGCCTGCAACACCCTGGATGGGACCTGCACGTGTGCACCTGGATGGCATGGGGAGAAATGTGAACTCCCCTGTCAGGTATGCCAGCTCTGCCTGGGAACTCCTGGGAGGAGCCAATGCCAAAGGGTTGGCTTCTATCTGCAGTTTTCCTGATTTAAATTGGCTGAATGTGAACCGACCTTCAGTAATTATTAGAAGAATCAAAGTGTTTGCATTCAAATTGGACACTGGATTGGGAAAAGATAGGAAAGACAATTGGTTAGGTAGGCTTTATGAGAATTCTTTCTTCTTTTCTCTTATCTGCACCCTGTTTTCCCACTCTTACACAAAGAATTTTCTCTGTTTCTTAAAACACTCATCTCTTGGTGGCAGCCAGTTAGCAACACTGGTCAAACACCCAGTGTATGCTTGTCATTCTCCAAATATTTTGTTTGCATTATAATGGAAATCCCTTAGCCTTTGGGATGAGAAGTGACAGGGGGGCTGAAAGGGGGTGGTGACTGGTGTCACAGAAATGCTCATTGAAGTGATGAAAGAAGGCTTGGAAAAGGCATGGTTTAATGTAAATATCTCTGTAGTTGCAAGAATCTCCTGAGATTTTCCAAGTTCAACACTCACCCACTTCATTCCCTTGACCTACTTTGAAGATGTGCATCATTAGAAATTATATCCACCCCGGCTGACAGAAGGTGCAGATGGGAAGTGTTTTCTGTAGTAACCTGCCGATTTCTTTCTTTCCAAAGCACTTGGCTGGTTCCTTTCCCTGGCTTCCATCACTCTTTCTTCCTGTCACAATTCTTTTCTCCTGAGCCATTAAGCATTCTCTCTGTGGTGTGTGTTCTCTGCCTCCAGGACATCATCAGATGGCAAGATAACAATGTGACCCCTTGAACTGGGCCCCTTGAGAAGGGACTTCCACAGAGGAGGCTCTTCCCTCTCTGGGCTTCCTCCTCATTAAGTCCAACCCACTTCCCAAAGTAGAGAGGATTCCCAGCCTGGGCTTTTCCGTGCCCTACAAAGCCCCAGGACAGAGTTAAGTTAGCTTTGCTGATTCTCAGAACAATAAACAAATAATCAGTACTTGGAACAGGCTGGAAGGTCACCCATGTGGGCTTGTGGCCCCAGGCACAACCTTGTCTTTTTTTTTGTATGTTAGATGCATTAGTAAATTAGAGAAGGCTGATAGTTTAGGGGTTCATAACATGGTAGAGCTAAATTCTATGTAGCTCTATCAAATATTAGTGGGGCCTAAAAAAGGGCTTAGTTTGTTAGTTTAACCAGTTCTAAATAAATGACTATGCCATCTAACACCCACTGACTGTTCATACTGGTTCTCATGTTCCCCTCTGGTGACAGTGTGTGCCCTCTGTTTTCCTTAGTGCCTGTGTAGTATGGGGAGGTTTGTAGCATCTTCCCTCAGTTCCCAGGTATAGAAGTGAAAGAGCAAGGTTTTTCCTGCAAATGCAAAACTTTCCATTTTTTTCCCCCATAAATGAAATGATCATGTCCACCAAGAGTCTCATCTCTGATGGGTTTCCCACACCGACACACATTTACAAACCCACCTAACTGCAATGGGAAGAGGAGGAAGGTGTGCCATCACGTCCTTAGGACTTTAAATTAGAATATTTCATGTGGTGTTGACTTTTTATTGGAAAAGAGGATATTAGACAAAAGTAACAAAAGATTTTTATTTTTCTATACCATGCATCTCATTGACAACTTAGAGAAATAAATGTAATGCAATTAGAACTATAGTTATTTTTAATGTTATAGCTTATTTATGTGGGCCAGAGTTCTCCTTTTCTGCTTAAGAAAGGAATGCATCGTAGGGAACACTGAACTATGTTATAAAAATCTTTTTAGGAACAAAGAAAATATTTTTATGAGTTGTGGCTTATGATTTTTAAAAAATTAACCAGCATATTTACATATATTGCACACATGCCCACCAGCATATTGGTAAACTTGGTTTTACCATTCATCTGTCCCAACCGTGATGTCAGTTATCAACCAGAATTTGAAAGATTTTGAACACTGATGTTCTGGAGCCTACATTCTGGGAACCAAGAAGATCTGGGACTAGGTGATCGTAATGTGCACTCCTGAGAGGTGTTAGGGGAATGGGGTACTGTATACAAAATGTCTGGCCGTGGCCCTTTTGCCTCCAGGTTCTCATTGCTGTCTTTGGTGCCTTCTTCCTTGCAGGATGGTACGTATGGGCTCAACTGTGCTGAGCGCTGTGACTGCAGCCATGCAGATGGCTGCCACCCCACCACGGGACATTGCCGTTGCCTCCCTGGATGGTCAGGTGAGAGCCCAGAGTCCTTACTTTGAAGGGGAAACCTGCCAACTTAATGACCTATTCTATTCCTTACTCTTTCAGAGAAATACACAAGTCGACTTTTCAGATAATATAGTAAAATCTTCAATAAGCCAACACATTTGTACTCATAAAATATAATCACTAGGTGTAATTAATCTGCAGCCCCACCCTCGTGCTGTTTTTTTTTTTTTGTTGTTGTTGTTGTTGTTGCTTTGTGCAGGGTCAGTTTTCTTGATCATACATGTAGGTTCCAATTGCTGGAATTTAGGCAACAAGATGGGAGAATGTGAGTTGCTATGAAGAGCTCAGAAGGAACTCTAATGGTATAATTGGGCTTTGAGAGGAAGAAAAGTTGAAATAAACCCTAAGAATATAACTAGGTCAACCTAGTGAGATGAAAATATTAATATTAATAAGGTTACTAGGCAAATACTTAAGTATTCTTTCCTAGAAATAAAAGTCTTAAAAACTTTCTTTTTTTCACAATTATGTTGGAATAGTGACAAATTTATGATATGGTTGAGTACAAATTTTCTAACCACAGCATGGGAATTTCTCTTTATTTATGTGGCTTCCTGATTTTAGCTAGGAAGTTTATCAAGCTAACAGTGGTCCCAGAAGAAGGATGATGATTTTGCTCATGATCTACAGACTTGTTTGTACATTTAGTGCCATCTTCTGAGTCTGTAAATCATGAGCAAAAACACCATTCTTCTTCCAGGACCACTTTATATTCCCACCAGCAATGAATGAGGGGTCCAGCCTTTCCACAACCTTACCACATCTGTCTTTTCTATTACAGCCATGTTGGCGGGGGTGCAGGGGTGTCTCATTGTGGATTACTTCTGTGTTTCCCTGATGGCTCATGATGTTGAGGATCTTTCCATGCATTTATTAGCCATCTGGATATCTTCTTTGTAAAAATATTTATTTACATCATTTGCTCATTTTTAATTTTTTTTATTATTGAGTTGAAACAATTCTTTGTATATTTTAGATTAATATTCTTTATTATTTATGATTTGCAAGTGTTTTCTCTTGTGAGGGTGTGTGTGTTTTTACTTTCTCAATGGTGTCCTTTGTATCGGAAAATTTTTAATCTGAGAAAATACATTTTCTCTCTTTTGTAAATTTTGTTGCTTATGCTTTGGTGTCGAATTTAAGAAATCATTGCCTAATCCAAGGTCAAAAAGGTTTGTGGCTTTCTTGTAAAAATTTTGTAGGTGTAGCTTTAGGTTCATTTTGAGTTAGGTTTTTTTTTGATGTGATATGCTGAGGGGATCAAACTTTATTCTTCTACATGTGACTATCCAGTTGTCCAAGCACCATTTGTGGAAAAGGCAAATTCTTTCCTTATTGAATCTTCTTGACATCCTTTGTCAAAAATCCCATAAAAAGCACATGAATGTAAGAAGGGTTTTTCTGGATTCTCTATTCTATCCCATTGGTCTATATACTCATCCTTATGCCAGTACCACACTGTTTTGATTACTATAGCTCTTTAGGAAGTTTTAAAATTGAGAAATGTGAGTCCTCTTTTTTTGGGGGGGCAGGTACCTGGGATTGAACTCAGGGGCACTCAACCACTGAGCCACATCCCCAGCCCTATTTTGTATTTTATTTAGAGACAAAGTCTCACAGAGTTGTTTAGTGCCTCTCTTTTGCTGAGGCTGGCTTTGAACTCACAATCCTCCTGCCTCAGCCTCTTAAGCTGCTGGGATTATAGGTGTGTGCCATTGTGCCCGGCCCTATAGCTTCTTTTTTTTTTTTTTTTTTTGATGTTGTTGTTGTTTTTCAGGATTGTTTTGATTCCTTTGAATTTCCATATGAATTTTTGGATCAACATATCAATTTTTACAAAGGATCAAGGTGGAAATTTAGTGGGGATTCAATCTATAGATCAATTTGGGGAGTATTGCAAACTTGGCATATTCAGACTTCAGATACATAAGCAAGGGATATTACAGGCAATCTTTTCATGGTTATCTGTCAGATCCTTAGGATTTGTTGAGAGTTTCTTTACTTTGTGATAGGAGTAAACTGAGATGAATTGTCATGAGCTTGATTTCTAGTGTCTGAGAGCCACCTTGGGAAAGAGGCCAAGGCTGGTGCCGTGAACTTCATTTTCTGTTGGTAGACCATAGACAGAAGACTTCCTGACCTCATGGTTCCTTCTTGACTTGCAAAACTCTGACTTTACAATATGAAAATTCTACCTTTCAGTTTCTGTTGACTGTCTATTTACCCCATGTTGAAACTGAATCACACCAGGGATTAAACTGGATTTTGTTACCCGGGTTCTTGAAGTTCTCAAATGGACTGACTGGTACTAATTTCTCAATGACTACCGTTAAGCAAAACAACATTTTGAACTTTCTGGTCATCACCATTCAGAAGTTTTCTAACTGAGAGGCCGCATCATTTGTTTTGGGTCATATGCTACCAAATCCAATTTTGTCTTATGAATATATAGAAGTGTAAGGTATCCTGGAATACCTCATCAGTACTCAGGTGTCCACCTGCTTTGATTTAGACTGAGCCTGTGAAAGGCACACACTAGTAGACATGGGAAAAGCAAGAGATGATTTGGCCTGAAGCCAGGCGGAAAATGTGTTGGTTTCATTCCACAGTCTGGGTCATGGGGTAAGACAAATGATCGCATCTGGCCTTAGACCTATCAAGCTCCTGCGGGAATGCAGTGGCTTTGTCACACAACGTAATCTTGTAATCCTCTGTCCATCTGTGACTGGCTTGCTTCTCTAAAAGGCACAGGGCTCTATCTCTTATTGCTCACTGTGTCTTTGCTTCATGGCCTGTGTGTCTTTATTGTTCCTAGGTCAGCTCAGTTGTCCCAGTGCCTCATTTCTTTGGGACCTCTGTGTGGGCTGTTGATGTGCAAACATCTGTCAGTATCTAAGCCTGCATGAGTTTGTCTGCCACACTCACAGAACCCAGTTGGTACAAGCAAACATATGTAGAGGACAATAAAATTCCAAAGCTTCAGAAACACCATTGGACCAAGATTTGGCTTATTTTTCTAAGAGGAAAGAGCAGCTTGTGTGTATTATTTACACAAGACATCATTTTGTTGTCGACACTGGACAGACTCATGACCTTTTGTTGATAAACTTGTCTTCAGTATTTTCCTTGTTAGGACCTTTGTCAATATAGAGAAGGCTTCACTTTTCATCTAGGCACCAGATGGGGCCACACTGTGAACAGAAGCCCAAGGAAGCAAGTAATTCTACTTCCTCTCCTCTGGCTGCCAAGATGGCTCTAGGTGACACATTGAGCATCGCCAGAGAGGGTGGCAGTGTGTGGTATAGCAGCGAGGCCTCTTGAAGAAGTCAGTGAAATTAGCACAGGAGCCTGAGCTCTACCACTGGCCATGTGCAGATGGTGTGAAGTGCTTGTTTCATGATCAGCTGGTTTGGAGCCATGGTAAGGGTGAGAGAAATCAACAGGCCTGTGTGGTCATCACCACTCATAGCTTCATCCTGTCATCAACTGGATGTTTTTCTCCTCAAGGACAGTGACCATAGTCTTTTATTTATTTTTTTAAAGTTTCTTTTATTTCACTATAATTGATAGTCCCTACTCACAAAAAGTCTTCAAAATGTGCTATTATGAAAATAACCAAAACAACAGCTGCATGATACCCCAGCAACTGTTTCCAGAAGAAGATCACCAATTTTTTTGAAAATAAGGATGTGCACTTTTATGATATATGGTTATTTGAAGCCCGAATTCATTAACATTTTTAGCTATTGGGCTATTTTTTTTTTTTACTGATTTTTAGTTTTTGTACTGACTATTGGACCCAGTGGTGCTTTACCACTGAGATATATCCCCAGTCTTTTTTTTTTTAATATATATTTCATTTAAAACAGGGTCTCACTAAGTTTCTGAGGCCTCACTAAGTCGCACAGACTGGCCTTGAACTTGTGATCCTCTGCCTCAGCCTCCTGAGCCACTGGGATTACAGGCCTGTGCCCCTGCTCTTGGCCCCAACAGACTATTTTTGTCTCTTTTTTTAAAGAGGCAGACTGCAGTAGAAAAACAGGGGAAAAGGAAATAATGTCAAGGACATAGGCTATGTCCTGAAATCCTCCTATACCATTGCTACCCACACACACACATTCCACATGCACACATACACATAACATACCCATGTGTAAGCACACATACATACACACTGCTATAAAATGAGACTGGCTTTTCCAAAGTCATTCTGAAATTCTACTTGTCAATATTAGTTTTATATAGATAGATATATAAATGTATATGTGTATTCCTAAAGTAATGGATTGATATGCTCTATAAAGTATTTCCTGAAAGTGATAGAAATACATTCAGTCAGACAGAACACCTATTTGCTGAGTATTACAGCTAATCATGATTTCATTCCAGCTGTCTGGGGACATGTGTAATCTGTAGCCTGGTCTCCAGTTCTGGCTAAGATCACCATCACCTGGGAACTCTTTTCACTTGCATATTCTCAGTCACCACCTCACACCAACTGAGTGAGAATTTGTGGGGTGGGAGAGAGGAGGAGATAAAAGGGGAGGAGGATGGAGCCCCTACAGGTACAATTTTGTACAAATTTGGAAACAACTTGGAAATCCCTCAGGATGTACTCTTTAGCATAGGGGATGAGGGCTGGATGTCTGCCTGATTTAGCTCCTTGGCTGGGTTCTTCTACTGCATACAACCTGTACATCCTTACTTGACAGCCCAGTCTGTCATGTTAAAAGTCACCCGGTAGCCTAGGCAGTACAGTTCCAAGTATGCAGAGTGGATTTGCTGCTCCTTGTTACTATAATTATTGAAGAACTTGGGGTGCAGGGGGCATTTCTTTGACACAAGCAAAACCAATGGTAAAGAGAAGGTTTCAGTATGCATTTACACTAGAATAAAAGTTGAATTCTGAACTGTCAGAAAAGAGGTCCGGACACCAAATCGACCTCTTGGTCTCTTGGGAATGA